ACCTTGCCATAAAAAATCTTTTAGGTTTCACCAAAATAGACAAACCGTTTCTACATTTTTTGTGTGAGCAAGTATTTTACAGTACTATAAAAATACTCGTAAATGTATCTGTCAGTATTTCAAACTATTATATTTAATTTGCCAAAATCACACAAGTGACTATTTCACAGCTGTCACATCCATAACGACACTTTTTCTTCATAAATGCAAAAATGTCAAATAAAATAAAATCAATCATTATAATTCTATAGTGAGCCGATTCATACCTGTTTGATGAGCATTGTTTCTTTTGGGTTGTGCAGTTTAACTGTCAGAATTTCTAAATAATCTGTTGTCCATTGTAAATTCGCAAACTTTTTTTGTCACATCCATAACGCATGTTTATTTTCCTAATTTAAAATATAAAACATGTTTACATATTGATATTTTTCTGCTACCATAACTCTGTGGTGAGCTATTTTGGAAAATATAAACAGAAGTTTCGATACAATGTCAACATATACTTTCTGTGTGAAATTATGTTTTGAGTTTTTACTGCAAATGTCACATCCATAACGCTGGAATTGCTCATATATATATATATATATATATATATATATATATATATATTTTTTTTTTTACTTAAGATTAAAAAAAATCATACACTACTGAACTGAGAGGATGAATCCAAAATTAAACCAAGAATAGACTTGTGTTGTGCCCATCAGTCTTATTAGATGAGGTTAATATTAAATTAAACAAATAATAAAAAATGTTGACAAAAAAAATAGACTGTTGTACTTTTCTGTGTTGTCAATAGACGAATAACCAACCTATGTCACATGGGTTCCTGGTTGCAAAAAGAGACCGCTTGCAATAGTAAACATGTTTAGTTCCAAACCCAGGCTACTTTGAAACCTACAGGTAAGTGTGTTGAAGCAGGGTTGGAACTAAACAGTGCAGAGCTGGGCCCTCCAGGATCTGAAATTTGTCACCCCAAACTTAGGGGGACTTTGATGCGATACATACATACACACATATATGGTTAGAATACATATATACATACATATATATATGATCTCTCTTTTAAATTACTATTTTCTATAGAAAGCTTTACAATATTATATTTGTGCACTGAGGCTTGTGCATTCTGGGGCTAATCTAACAAATTAACTAATAATAACGGCCCAAAAATTAGTAGTCCAAATTTAGAGGGGAAAAAAAAAAAGAGGAAAAAATTAATTTAAATGTTTTATCTTTCTATTTCTAAAGATGTTTGCTGACTAAAATATTATTTTAACAAACATGTTTAATAAATCGGTTTTGTTCAAATGCATTACAATATATTACCTATAATCACTGAGAAACGGATAAAAAAAATACTAATTTTCAAAATGGGGTGTACTCGTATATGCTGGCCACAGTGCATACATAAATAGACATATATATATATATATATATATATATATATATATATATATATATATATATATATATATATATATATATATATATATATATATATATATATATATATATATATATATATATATATATATATATATATATATATATATATATATATATATATATATATATATATATATATATATATATATATATATATATATATATATATATATATATATATATATATATATATATATATATATATATATATATATATATACATGAGCAATTCCAGCGTTATGGATGTGACATTTGCAGTAAAAACTCAAAACGTAATTTCACACAGAAAGTATATGTTGACATTATATCGAAACTTCTGTTTATATTTTCCAAAACAGCTCACCACAGAGTTCTGGGAGCAGAAAAATATCAATATGTAAACATGTTTTATATTTTAAATTAGGAAAATAAACATGCGTTATGGATGTGACAAAAAAAGTTTGCGAATTTACAGTGGATAACAGATTATTTAGAAATTCTGACAGTTAAACTGCACAATCCAAAAGACACAATGCTCATCAAACAGGTATAAGTCGGCTCACTATAGAATTAAAATAATTGATTTCATTTTATTTGACATTTTTGCATTTATGAAGAAAACGTGTCGTTATGGATGTGACACATTTCCGTTATGGATGTGACAGCTGTGAAATTGCCACTTGTGTGATTTTGGCATATTAAATATAATAGTTTGAAATACAGACAGATACATTTACGAGTATTTTTAAAGTACTGTAAAAAACTTGCTAACACAAAAAATGTAGAAACAATTTCTCTATTTTGGTGAAAACTAAATTATTTTTATGGCAAGGTTGACATTTGCATGGAATTGCCCATATATATATATATATATATATATATATATATATATATATATATATATATATATATATATATATATATATGAAGAGTTCAGATGCAAAAAACCTCTAAATGCCATCTGAAATCTCCTAAAATGAGTATTTTTCTCAGCCTCCTGTGTTTATGTTAAGATTATTTCACTTTAAAGGCAATGAAAATAACTTATTTAATGTAAAATTTTGAGCCTACACACAAGAGTCGGAAAAAGATGCTAATGAAGCAGTTAGAGGTTTTTGCATTTAAACTCTTTATATAAACTTTTTATATAAGTTCTGTGCTCTAAAATAAGTTTTTTTGACAATATAAGTGTGTTGTGTGCTGTGTATATTTATTTTGTATATATAAATACACACATACATGCATATATTTGAGAAAATGCTTATTTTTATAAAACATATGTGTATATGATAATTATTTTTTTATGGCAAGGTTGACATTTGCATGGAATTGCCCATATATATATATATATATATATATATATATATATTTATATATATACAGTGCATCCGGAAAGTATTTATTGCGCTTTACTTTTTCCACATTTATTTTAAGTTACAGCTATGTTCCAAAATGGATTCAATTTATTTATTTCCTCAAAACTCTACACACAATAATATGGAAGCCCGTTCCCACCACTGAATAATAATAATAATAATAATAATAATAATAATAATTGAAAACAATTATGAAAAATAAATAAATTATAAAGTCAGAATTCAGAGTTATTAAGTCAGAATTCTGAGTAATAAAGTCAGAATTCAAAGTTATAAAGTCAGAATTGCGAGTTTTTAAGTCAGAATTCTTAGTTATAGTCGCAATTCTGAGTTATTAATGCAGAATTCTAAGTTTTAAAATCAGAATTGCGAGTTATAAAGTCAGAATTGCGAGTTATAAAGTCAGAATTGCGAGTTATTAAGTCAGAATTGCGAGTTATAAATTCAATATTGAGAGTTATTAAGTCAGAATTGCGAGTTATAAATTCAATATTGAGAGTTATTAAGTCTAAATTGCGAGTTATAAATTCAATATTGAGAGTTATTAAGTCAGAATTGCGAGTTATTAAGTCCGAATTGCGAATTTTTCAGTCAGAATTGCGAGTTTTTCAGTCAGAATTGCGAGTTTTTCAGTCAGAATTGCGAGTTATTAAGTCAGAATTGCGAGTTATAATTTCAATATTGAGAGTTATTAAGTCAGAATTGCGAGTTGTTCAGTCAGAATTGCGAGTTATTAAGTCAGAATTGCGAGTTATAATTTCAATATTGAGAGTTATTAAGTCAGAATTGCGAGTTATTAAGTCTGAATTCCAAGTTATTAAGTCAGAATTG